TTGAGGGAGCGATGCTTTGAGCCCGAGGTGCCTCGTGTGAGGAGAGCGAACGCTTTTTGGGCTCTGGATTTGTCAAGGTGCATGTGCATTTTCTTGACGTTTAAAGGAATAGTTCACTCAAAAATAAAAATTTTGCCAATATTGTATTTGCATAAATCTTTGAAGCATTTTTAAACTCCAAAAAGAATAGAAATACTATTAAAGCACCTTAAATGCAGCCAGTACGACTATGTGTGCTATATTCACTGTCTTCTGAAACTGTACGACAACTTTGCATGAAGAAAATACCGAAATTGTCATGCACTGATAAAATGTTCACGATGTATTTCTCTCATTGATATCATGACTTAATGTGAATGAACTGCATATAAAGCGTTCACCCTGATCTGTACGTACTGAGTTGCACTTGTTTAGAAAGCGAGGTAGGGAATAATGCAGTTAAAAACAAGAAAAGGGAAAATGGAGAGAGAGAGAGAGAGGACTAGATATTACACTGACAGTAAGAGGATGAATTATTGAAGCTGGCATGGGGGGAGAGAGGCAGGAATGAGGAATATGTTTTTAATCCGGAGTGTATCCATGTCTAGACAAACTACACACACTCTTACACACACAGAGTGCTCACGCTTCTCCCTTGAGTACTCATAAAGAAAGAAATAGTGAGAGTCTCTAGTAATTTGTTTTTGTAAAATAATAATCAAACTAGAACTAATATTATTAGCAATGATGATTTTCTTTGACTATTTCATGATCTGTCTGTCTGGGATTTTATCAAACAGTTGGTTAAACCCGCAGCAGGCTTTCAGAGCGGATCTGCTGTTGGCTTGTGGTTTTGAACCACGTTTCTTGTCAGAAAAAAATGCTTGTCTCAACAATTACCAGTCTATTCATGAAGTACTCTGTCTTTTCACTAAACGTAGAGCTTTTACTGCACTTTTACAGCACATCTTCAACCGCACAAGCTCCGCTCCTCAACCTAAAGAAACTCCAGCATAACAGAACATTCAGCACAAACACGTCTGCTCTTTTGTCATGTTGCTGAAAAACACACATAATTAAAATAACACATAACCTCAACATTCACTCTCCCAAGCCAAGGATAAAAAACACTCTGCCCAGTTTCAGCAATGCTACATTGTAAATCCAAAAGAAACAAAAGCATGCAATGAAACGAAGTTGTGAAAATGTTCAAGAATGGTGTTTCATTAGCTCTTTTTCATTTTAATTTTGACTAAGCAGCATTATTTTTTTTGTGTGTTTTTGAGTATGACTGCATGTGTCTTGGTTACGTTTGCTGTTGTTTGGTTTCTACAGACTCAGAATGTCAAGGTAGTCTGTTTTCCCCCTCTTCTGTCAATCTCACACTCTTTTAAGATGTATTTCCTCACAGTGTTTAGTGACATCTTCACCATGAGAAAATGTCTTTTTGACGTCTGCCGTCTGGTGAGGTGTCGCGTTCGCCTCCTGGACACACATCTGCTCTCTCTCAGCACTTCAGGAGGATTCTGGGTTATTTTCCATTCGGTGTCTCTGGACCACATCTGTGCCATCCTGTTGATTACTACAGACATTAATTTTGTCTCGTTCCTCAGTTTGTACAAATCAATGAGAAACACGCTTGGAGTAATGCATGCGTTTACTAGGGAAGCGTATGTGTGCTGGTAATTGAAATTGTAGTTAACTGAGTAGTGAGTGATGGACTTGAGGAACCAATGTAAAATCATATTCCATTTCCATTTCATGCTTTTTATGTGGATTTGCAGACCACTTGTAAACATTGTATCGCATTGACAGATTAATGAGCCGATCATGGTACGATTGAAGCGTTGCCTTCTCTCATGTGACATACACCTATTTTCTGTCACTTGCTCAATACTATAGGACCTCAGAGAGAGCACCATGAGCTCAGAGACGCATCCTCTTCCCAAACGTCATCTGCTGTTGTTGCCTGTTGGACTGTGTACTTTAGAACAAATTAATTTTGTAATTTTTGCTTGGTTTATTTATGTACTGTACGTTATTTACTCAGATCTTGATTTTTGTGAGAGAGGCACTGCTTCCTTGACCTAATGTGGGATTTTGTGATTTTTTCTCCAAAAGAAGAATAATGGTCAGATTCTGTGACTAATTAGCTCAGTGACCAGCCCAAATGATCGCACTGATGATTTGAGTCTCGTTCATTAGCAGCATCCAGTCCAAATGAATTACCGTTTGAATCAGTCCAAATAAGATCTAAATTTACTACTAACTTTGACCAGGGCTGCGTTTCCCAAAAGCATCGTAAGCTTAAGTACATTGTGGACCCATTGAAACCAATGGAGCTACGATCAACTTAGGCTTACGATGCTTCTGGGAAACACAGACCAGATTTCTTCCCATGCACCATGAGCATTTCCCCTCAAACCATAACAAAGTAGACCTTTAAGATGGAAAATCCATTTAACTGTTTTCTTACTTTGAGTACCAAAGCACTTTTCCAAAGGCCTCTCACAATTAACTTGTGGAGTATTTTTTGCTGGATTTTCCTCAGATGTCATCAATCAGTGAATTCTGACCCTCTGTCTCTCCTCTCTCTCTCTGTGTGTGTGTCTGCAGTGACGATCTCCACCAGTACTTACTTCGATGGGCTGCTGGTCACCGGACTCTACACCTCCACTTCTGTCCAGTCGTCTCCCATCCCTGCGTCTCCAGCCTTTGGCTTCGGTAAGTCTTGAATGAATCTAAAATTAGATTAAGAGAACAATCTAATTATGTCAACGAATACTCATCACCTGGTTTGAGTCTATGTGAGTATTCTGGGCAGACATTACAGGGTCTGGAGGAGAGTGAATGTACTGCACATCATGTGTCAGATAAGAGCAGAACTGAAGCACTGGAGCATTGCTTGAGGCTTGTTTAATGATTCTGAGAAGCACTGATATTCTCCTCTATGTGTATGGTGTGAGAGCTTGTGTAATGTGCACATCGTTGGCTTTTATATTCTTAAAAGTGGGTCTGAAAGAGGTTGGAGCAGGTACAGAATATCCAGATACATGCACATAATCCAGACCGTATGGTGAAGTCTAGAAATCAAACGGATATTGAGGATGTATTATTCAACATGGAATATTACTGATGATGCAGTTCCACGGTACATCTTTGAAGAACATTTGTATACTTGTTGAAGAGCTGCAGGATTTTGTTAGGGGCTGATTATTATTTACAGTGAGAGAATTAATGAAAATAGTAAAGACCTTGCTCTTTCTCATTTATCAGAAATAAGTGTTGTTGACTTTTACTTCCTTTTATTTACACTGAGCATTTTATAACAAAAACTGTTCCAAATCTCTTTTAGTGAGAACAGCGCATTAATACACTCAACATTCAATACGTGAGTTTTGAAGCTGCTTATGATATTACGACATGAACTCATGAATATTAATTAGGTGACGTTGTTAGGCAACCTTCCTGGAACATCCGCCTACGTAATCTATTAATATTCATAGACCAAGCATTAAGCGTAGTTGGTGACTATCCAGGTGACTAGCGTCCACTTACCAGCGTCTGGCTTTCAGAAGATCAGTTAGCTCCATTAAATAAATTGAATGGCATTTTATGCCAAGTTTAATTAATCTCAGAAGGGAATGTGTTAATTTAGCTCAGCACTGATGTTTCTATAACGTTCTAATGAATCCTCGGCAGTTCCATTA